GCCATGTATTTTAGGTGGACACAATATATTTATTTTTTTTTGTGGTGGTGAGGATTGAAACCAGTGCCTCACGCATGCCAGGCGAGTGCACTACCACTTGAGTCACATCCCCAGCCCTAAGTAAAATATTAAAAAGGGATGAGGATGTGGCTCGGTGGCTAAGTGCCCCTGGGTTCAATCTCCGGTACCAAAAAACGACAAAAAAGTTTGAACAGGTGGCACCTGACACATGATAGTCCCTCGATACATGGCACTTCTCTCCCTTTTCCCAGTTTCTCTTTATGTAGTAACAAATCCTGTAAAGGATTAGACTCCTGCGTTCCTTGGTTACTGGATTCTGGACTCTGGAAAGCTTCTGGCTCCTTCCAGCAGAGGCACTTTTGGTCTACTGTCCACCTTCTGTCCATGAAAGGGAGTGTGTATCTCAGGGAAACCTGTATGGTTTGGCCTTTTTCAGGGGACAGAGAGGGCAGTGGTCACCTGGTAGCCTGGGGGCACTTGCCCAGTCTCAGGGAAGTTATTTTCCTGGCCATTGGCCACTTTTTGCCTCTGTCAGGTATCCCCACCAAGAGCAGTGCCCCAAATGCCCACCACCCAAACCCCTCCTTCTGCCACAACTCCCATCCTCCTGCTGGGGACTTACTGCAAGCTCCAGGTCTTGGAGTTCTTTTTTCTTCCCTAGAAGTTTGCTAAGGGAGCTGAGCAGGGAACTTTGCCCCACTCGACTCAGCTTCTCCACTTCTTGGGTCTCTCTCTGAACCTCTTCTTTCAGTGTCCCAAAATCCTCATGTACCTCCCCTATGAGGACAGGAAATATACACACCAGTCCTTCAACTGACAGCCTCTCCTCTCTTTTAGAAAGTGTTCTCCCCTAGGCTCCTCCCCTCGCCCCACTCAGGGCTCCATCCCCTGCTTCCAGCTTGAGATGGCCTTTTTTTCTTTACCAAGGATCAGAGTTATGAAGTTATCCTCCAGCCCCAACAGAAGGGGTGGGGCAAGGCGGTGTCATCTAATCCAACAATTAATCATCCTGGAGACCCCAGGCCTCATCCTGTATCAGTAAGCAAATAACTTCCCATTCTCAGAGATGCCAGCTAAACGTTGAGAGGAAGGTCTAATCTCCCTTCTCAAGATTTAGTAGACAAGGGAGAATGACTTTGGTGACCTCCTAAAGGCCAAGACGGGGATGCTTCAGAGAGCAGTGGCTCTGTATCCAGGGAGAGCATGAACCAGAACTTGGCTTTCTCGGGGCCTGGCATCCAGGGAATACATTGATTCTGCACCAGAAAAGTGGTTCCCTGGAAGTGGCTCCAAACCCTAGAACCTGGCACTCAGCCCTTGCCTGGCCTTCCCTCTACCCTAATGCTTCTCCTGCCACCTTCGTGACAAAATCTTGGAAGAAACAAAATTCCTTACCAACATCAGATGCCTGGATAACTGGAAAACATAAGAAAAACAAACAAAATAGATAAGAATACAGACCTTCAGATTGGCAGCCATCCCCAGGGCATGAAACACTAATCGGAATGCAGTAACAGGTCCAGTCTGGCTCCTGGGAGATCCCAACTATCTTAAAGATACTCTTGCACCATTCCTGGGAATCAGGAATGGGTCAGGAGAAGAGCTATCAGGAATGTGAAAAGGGGCATCCAGATGGAGTTGGCATCACTGTGACTCAGTTTTTGTCTCTGGGTGGCAGAGTAACACATATGTTTGAAATAGGTTATAGCTACCAAGGACTTTGGGGATAAATGTCTGAGATATCAGACCACCTGGGCATCTTGTCCAAAGGTCTCCCCCTTCCACTGCTTTTTCCTAAGCTAGCAGAATTTCTGCCATTTGTCAGGGACAATTGCTAATGAGACCTGCTCTGCCCTCTTCCCTGTCAGTCTCACGCAGGAGGGGAAAAGACTAGTGTTTTTTAAACTAGAGTCAAGAAAGTTGCAGTGGAGTGATAGGATCACTTACGTGCGCATTTCCCCTCTCCTGGCTTTTCTGAAGAGAGAAACAATGCACATTGGTCAGCATAAAACTAATTTCTGCCTTTTTTGTCTAAAGCATCTGTCAAGGTAGCTTCATGGGGGATGATTATACAAACACATGGAGATCCTGTTAGCTCATACTCCCACAATTTGGCAACACACACTGACTCCGAGTCCTGTTTCTGCTTCTGATTGTGTCTCTGGTCTCTGTCCTTCTCTCTGTCCCTTGTGGGCACTATTTATATACCTCTGTCTTTCCTAAAGTTGAGGATAGATATTCTGGGATGTGGGAGACAAAAGCAGGGGGCTCCCAGAGGGATTACAGAATCTGCTAGTAGAGGGCAGGGCAGGAGCTGTGGAGAGCCAGTTCACTTACCTTCTGGAGGGAAGGTTTGCATGCTATCATTGCAGATGTGGGGAATATCTGCAAGGAGCAAGAGAAGAAGATCAGGAGATAGCTTACCCTTCTTTCTCCAGCCTCAAGCCCAAGGGCCCCTTTCTCAGGGCTAGATCCTGTCCCTCAAATGGCTCATCTAATTCTCCACTCGACCTCCACTACAGGAAGTTTGAAGTTCTCTCCTAGATAGCACTGTTTCTACTTGGCATCCTAGTATTGGCATTGATCCTCCTTTGGTTTCTTGAGAGTGGAGGCTGATTTTGTTTAGTTTTATGTCCCTTGTCCCAGCCTCCACAATGCCTAGCACCCAGCAGATGCTCAGAACCCAGAAGCCCCTTCCCCCTTCCTCTGGAGCAGGCCCTGTGGCTCAGTCCCCAGCACTGGATGATACAATACACTCCTTCTGCCATTCCCTGACATGGCCACAAGAGGGGACCAGGATGCCTTGGTAATGATGCGAGTAATTGTCATCTTAGGGAAAAATCTTCCAGGACTCCGCTCACCCCATTCATCTTTGCCATTGACCATCAGCTGTCTCACTCGAAAGGCTAGGACGCAGCCCTTGGGGATGGTTACAGCCTCCTTGTGGTTTACAGATCCCTAGAATTAGACAATGAGGATTTGTGAATTTGCAGAAATCCTAAGCATGAGACATTGGGAGTGGTGGTGGGGGCAGGTGGAAAGCCAGGCCTGAGAGCTTTGGGGAGATAGCAAGTTGGGAACCATTCAGTAGTGTCCCAGATCATCTTTCTATCCAGTCTGAACTTGTGGAACGGGCTTTGAAGCCCTCCCACTCATTTCCAGTGCCCATCCAGGATTCTTCCTGGTTCAGATGCATGAAAGGAACTGGGCCAACCTGCTCCATCAAGTACCTGTACACCACCCTGTCCCACCTCCAGGCCCTGATTCCTTCTTTCTCTTCTCCATCTGTCCTTTGCTTACCTCATTCAGAAGTCTTTCATGACTAATCTCTCCTCCTGTCCCCAAATGCCAAATCATCCCTTGAATATTTACACTTACTAGGTATAGGTATGTGAGCCTTGCGTATTTCCATTGAATTTCCCATGACTGTAGTCTCTGGGATTTAACTGATGCATCTTGACTTTGAGCCTGAGAACTTTCTGTGAGCAAGGAGCTCTGTTTTTTAGCTTGGGAGTACTATGAGGGAAAACTCAGGAGCATGTTTCCCCTTCCCAATATTCCCTGTGGCATCTGGAATAGAGATCTGCTCACACTGGGCACCATCAACTGGAGAAGGGGGTTGTGTCTGGCCAACTAGGGTTTGGATCTTGAGGAGGTAGGAGAAGGGGTAAGTCAGTAAGTCTTCTTCAGTATCCTGAGTGGGTACCTGTCCAGCAAAGTTAATGAAACCTCTGGGAATGCAAATGCCTATGTGTGTGTGTGTGTGTGTGTGTGTGTGTGTGTGTTTGAACCAAACCTGTAGCCCCAGTGGGGCAAAGAACGGGAGGGAGAAGCAGCCCTCTGCCTTGCCGGCTCTCTCCAGAGTGACCTCCTGTACCGTCTCCACCACCTCCATCACCACATACAGATTCTCACCACGATCTCGCATCTCCTTCAGGAAAGGGTGATCTGCTGCCAGCTTCCTGTGGCAGAAGAAGGATAAGGGGACCATCCAGAGCTTCTCCCCACCTGGGCCATGCCCTTCTCTTTTCTACGGTCATTTGTAGGAACTGGACATTATGGTGACAGGGAAGGAGTAAGGACTCTGGGATCAGTCTGAGTTGGAAACCCAGATCAACTACAGCTTCTCTGAGGCTTAGTTGCCTCATCTATAAAAGGAGGATAAAGATGGTTCCCTCCAGTGTGGAGGTAAACCAGGTCATCATTTGGCACAGAACCTGGCCCAGAAAGGGCCTCATGGTTGCTTCCTTTCCCCTTCTCCTTCTGCTTGGCCATGATTCTCCTTCCTTGCCTTCCACTTCATCTCTTCTGGGTTCATCTCTTGCCATTAACACCAGTCTCTCCTCTCTTTTTGCTCCTTCTGTTTACTTCCTCATATAAACACGTCCTTGATCCTAAAAACTCACTTCCTTTGATCCAGTTACTCTCTCAAATGACCATCCTATTTCTTTCCTTTACTTTATTGGCAAATATCTCAAAAGACCCAACTGTACCCACTCTCTAATTCCTCACTGCCCTGAATTCTGAATTCTCTATAACTTGGCTTCTATTTCCCCAACTTAGCTGAAATCACAATGACAAAAATCAATGTTCATCAAAATCAATGACACTGCACCTGCTGTCCAAGGCAACTCTGTCTTCTCTTGGTTTCTGAGCACACTATACCATGCTGGTTCTGCCCCTGTCTTTCTGGCTCCTGAATCTTACCCATTCTGTCTGAATCCCCCTTTTCCAGTTTATTTGGCTCCATAAAATGCTATGTTCTCAGAGATCTTGTTCTCACCCCTCTGCTCTTGGAAATCCCTCCAACTTTCCCCCCAGTTTCTACAGTATTATTTTGCTGTTCAACACATATGTGTCTTTACTTGAGGGCCCAAAGCACCTTCTCACTCCTGATCTCCAGGTCCTTGATTCCAACTACCTGTTAAACGTTCTCAGCTGATGCCAAAGCAGAACCACAAATTTAAAATGTCTAAGAGAAACTCACAATCTTTCTCTACAGATCCACTTCTCACCTCTGTCTTCTTATCACCTGTAATGTCACCTTCAATGTCTCATAATGTCACAATCTGGGTCAAAACGCAAGGTCATCTTTGACAAAATCTTTGCCCTCACCCTGCAATCAGCTGCCAAGCCAAGTCCATTCTATTGCCTTTATTATTATTATTATTATTATTATTAGTAGTAGTAGTAGTAGTAGTGGAGATTGAATCCAGTGTCACTTAACCACTGAGTCACATCCCAGCCCTTTTTGTAGTTTATTTTGACACAGGGTCTTGCTAAGTTGCTTAGGGCCTCGCTAAGTTGCTGAGGCTGGCCTTGAACTTGTAATCCTCCTGTCTCACCCTCCCAAATTGCTAGGATTACAGGCATACCCCACTGCATCTGGCCATTCTATTGCCCTCTGCATAGAATAGGCTGTCCATCTGTTCCTCTGTCTTCATTCCAGCTGCTCTCGCCCAGCTCTTGTCGTCATTTTACATCTCTGATGGGTAGTAGAACGGTATCTTTCCTGGTTCTCAAACCCCTCTCCCTCTTCCTCTATCCAACAACTTCCTCCATCTTGTCATGGGACACATCAGAGCCTACAAGTCCACCTCCTTTCTTTGGCCCTGATCCTCCATGAGCTGAGTCCACCCTGCATCTTCTTCTTATTTCACGGGTGCCTCTTTTGCACCTGCCAGATGGACTGTTCTTATTGGTTTTGAGAGGTCTCACCTGTGTGTCTTCTCCCAGCCCTGGTGAATAATTTCTTTTCATCTTTCAAGCCCTAGATCATGGGCCACCACCTCTGTGGGGTCTTACCTTCTTTCCCTGATGAGAAGTTCCTATGGCCTTCCACAAGGTTCATTCCCCTGGCACTGACCACTTCTTGTCTTGGATTTTAGTAATTGCCGATATGTTAGTTTTCACCTTCCTAGGTCACAGAGTTCTTGGACAAAGATGCTCGAGGGGTACCCAAGCCCAAAACAGGATGCTTTTCATTCAACCAGAGTGGTGCAAATGTTTACTGAGTAACTTCTGAACACTCCAGCCCTTCCAGCTGGACTCCCCAGTCCTTACCTCTTCTTTTTAACCACTACTTAACTACTTGAAAGTCAGTTCCCCCATCAAGCCAAACATACATGGAGCCTAGCATCAATGTGGCATCTGCCACACCCCATGTGCTGTTGGGACAGCATCCCCGAGGGTGTGCTTGGTGTGTGTATGGGGCCAGGCAGAAAGCTTCACTTATGGGAGCAGACCACTGGGCTCATGCTTCAGGGGGGAGCAGTTTAAGATCAGGCCCCTCCCCATTTTAAGGCATTTAATAGTTCTAGAGTTGGAAGGAACCTTAGGAATGATCATCTAACTCCATCATTCAGAAAACTGAAGTTTTGAGAGAAATGACTTTTCCAAGGTCTCATGAACGTGGATGCATTCATCCCCAGGTGTGTGTGACACTGGGGGTAGTGAAGGACAGAAAGGAGTGCTTAGGAAATGGCCTGAATACACTCCCCGTGGTGACCACATTGGCGTAGGTCAGTGTGAGGGTCTCACCTTTTCACTCAGGGCCCAATGCACCGTTTCCATGCCCTGCCTCACCCCACCCCACCCTGCTAGCCCCTGTGCCCTTTCCATTCTCACCTCTCCTCGTGCAAGGACTCCAGGGCCTTGGGAGCCACACTGAGTGTCTGGACCTCCAGCGTGCTGTTCCTGGAGAGCCCGGCAGTCCCCCTCACCTTCACCGTCTTTGGTACATCCACCTCTCCCTCCACTCGGGCGTCCAGCATATTCTTAAAGCCAAAGTTCCCAGAGTCTGTTGGATCTGCAGGAAGGAGAAGATAGAAGGGTCTGGGGTGAGAGGCATTCTCTGTCACCTGTTCAGCTCCTAATGAGATTGTCGAGGAGATGACTCCTAACCATAGCAGGTCAGAGAGGAGCTTCCCAGTCCTCCTCGTGGGGCAGGTGCCTGACTCCTACCCGGCAGCACCCCTCAGAATCCAGTCCCACGGCTGAGGCTCACCTGAGGGTGAGTTGCCTGGCTCAAGCACATCCAGAAGGGTGTAGTCGGTGCGGACATAGCGGGCCCCCCAGAACAGTGTGCTCTTCCTCTTCCTCAACACCAGGCAGAAGGGGTGAAAGCGCTTGAAATCAATGAGGCTGTCCAGGGGTGTTAAGTCCCCTCGAGGGTTTAGCTGTCTGGCCAAGGCCCGGGTGACATTTTCAAACATGGTCATTGTCCCTGTGAGGAGAGAGATGAGACTGTCCAGATGGCTGCCAAGGACCTGGTAAGGTCCCTGCCGTGGGGAGCCACCCTGCTCTGGGGCAGGGGGAGCTCTTAAAGATGCCTGAATTCTCAAATGTTAGACCTGGAAAGAACCCGAGAAGTTTTCACGTTATGGTGAGGAGACTCAGGTTCCAGAGCTTACATGGCGGGCTAGGGAAGCCACAACCAAAGGGCTCTTTTCTCAGTCTACATTCTTTTTTTTTTTTTCACAGTCACAGAGCCTGGATGGAGCATTTCATTAGCTGTAGAAGTGAAGCTTTCTCTCACACTTGGGAGCAGCCATTGCCAGGGAAGCAGCCACCACTGGGGTCAAGGTGCCGGAAGGCAGAGCTGGGCACTGCACTAGCTGCCCTTTGTTGATGGGGGTTCACTTCCCATCATGGTGGCTGCCCCACTGCTCCAGGCATGTTGATGTTCTTTGCCTTTGTTCTCTCTGCTTTTCATACCCTCTTCCCAGTCTAAAGCATTCCTATTCATTTTTTAAAGACTCAATTTAGGTCACTCCCTGGTGACACCTCCCCTCACTCCTTCAGGCATCTGGTGACTTCACAGCCAAGTGCTGTGTACATCTCCTGAAACACCTGCCACTTTATGTTGTTATGATCTCTTCACCTGACTCACCTACTCTACTGCGACTTCCCCGACAGCTGGCAATGGGTCTTAGTCACCTCTGTAGCATCAGTACCAAGGCAGTGCCTGGCACAGAGTTGGAGCTTGGCAAATGAGTGCGGAAAAGAAAAAAGAATGAATGAATGAATGAATGCAGCCCTGGGAGACACATGCTGGGGTAAGAGGGCCTCAGAGAATGTGGGGCCTACGAGAGCCCGAGCTTCACCATCTTAGATCTCTGTCTTTGATGTTCAAGTCCAGGTGCTCTGCTGGGCAGCTGGAGGCACACCCAGATTATCCCTGTGGGTGGAAGAGAACCTACCAGCTGGCCTGGAAGTGCCTTGCTTTCTTGTGGTACCTCACAGAGTCAGGGAAGTGGAGGCACAGTCACAGATGTGTGAGGCCATTCTTCATGCTTCAATGTGCTTTGTCACCCCTTACTCCTGGGAGGACCATGATGGGCTAGGACAACCTCTTGGGGATAACTGGGGGCACATGGGACTCCTCACCAGAGAGGCGCTCACTGGGCCACCTCCCCTTCCGTCCCCAAGATCTATCAGGATACCTACCCGACTGCCCTTCTGGTCCCACTCAGCTCCCTAGATCACCAAACTGTCCCCTGCCTCCTCTCCCGTCATCAAATTCTTACCAGGGAATGATGCTCTGGGTCCTTCAGGAAACCTGGTGTGGAGTGAGGGCCCAGGGCTTGCTCTGCCTGTAGGTTGAGAGGATGACTGTCCTTTGCCAGGAGAGGCTGCTTTATGCCTCTGTGGAGACAGGGATATAGGCTTCAAGGGACCCCGCCTGCCTCAGTGACCCCACCCCCTCCCGCTCCACTTCCGGGAGAACAGCATCAACCTGTTCCAGGTGCGCCTTGCCCCAGGCCCCCAGGCTCTGGCATCCAAAGGGCTGAGGGGGTGGATAGGGTGCTGCCAGGAAGGTGTTAGCGTAGGTGGGGGCAACCGGGCCAAGAGCTAGGTGGCAGGTGAAGGTTAGTTTGTGGCCATCTTTGGGAGATACAGAGAGGCAGAGGGAGTGGGGGTGTGTGTGCACACACACGTGTGTGCGTATGTATGTGTGTATGAATGAGGAGGGACGGCATCTTTGTTTTGATGTGAACGTGGTCTATCAGGAAGCATCTGGGATTCATGGTAGGCCTTACAGGTGCGATAAGGGGATAAGATTCCAGAAGAGATTCCAGGAGAGAACAGAGCAGCTGAGAAGTTGTTCTTCACCGACCTGTGTGTCAGCCTCCCCATCCCTGCCTCAGTGCATTTGTTTTAGCCCCATATACATATCTCTGCTACCGCTAGATACATAAGTCTAGGCAGAGAGGGAGCTAGGCCAGGAGGTTTTCTGGGGTAAAGTGTTCTGTGTCTCAGCTGCTCGTGGAACACTGAATGCACACATGTCTGTCAACAGAGGCAGAGGCATAGTAGCAATATTACTGGAAAAGCCCAAGATGCCTGTTGAGGGGGGTCAGGAGTCTCACTGTAGGTCACTCAGGTCCTGCTTCTGTCTTCTGTCTGGGCCTGGAAGGAATTTTAAAGGAGACCTGACATCCATGCCTAGCTCTGTAGATGACAAGTTAAGGGATTTACACACAAGGCCTGTAGCATGGGGCTCCGTGGTCTCGTATGTGTGCACATGGGTCCTGAACACCCATGAGCTGTTGCGTTCACCGTGAGGCATTCCTCAGCAGTGCTCATGGAAAAAGTAATGCAAACGTGAAGGACGTGAAGAGTACGGTTGATCTTTTCTGGAGGTTTCCTTGAGGAGCTGGTGGTGAATGGGAAGATGAGACCACCCAGACTCAGTAAAACTCCCTAAACATTTCATTACTCTACTTTTGTCTTCAGGGTCTCATTCAGTGTGACAGATGCTCCCATATGGCTCCTCCCTATGTTTTAAAACAAAACAAAACAAAATGAAAACCACCTTGCCTTTGCCTCTCTGGTCCCCACTCCTTACCACACTGCTTGCTTCCCTTCTCATCCACCCCTGCCCTCTTTGTGTATCTATCATACACTTCCTCCTTCAACACCTCTAACCGTTGCATAGGCCATCCAATGTCCCTCCTCCTTAGAAGAGGCAAAGTTGGGGAGGTGAGTGTGTGGGAAGGTTGTCATTAGTCTTTTGGTCCCTGTCACAAGTGTGCATGTATGTAGAAATGTGTTGTATGTTGTCCTGAGTGTGCTCTGTCATGAACACATAGATGAAACATATTTGTATCTTGCCATGATGTCAGAATTTATTGAATAATAATAAATTCATAGGCTAAACCACTTTAATCAGCGGCAGTTTACTGAATACTTGTGGATCATCTGGTAGTCCTAAATCAGGCAGATTTTTAAATTTTAATCTCTTTTTTTTAAATTTTAATCTTAATGTTTAATATCTATAACACTCTCAAGTCACAAATTCTACTTTATACGTGTGAGTGTGTGTGTTACTGAAAGGTTAAAAAATGGTTAAGGCAGCCACAGGGGTTTAGAAGGCTGAACTCAGAGTAAAGACAGACTATCTGAATGTAATGTCCCTGTAGATGGTCAGCCAAAGAAATTATTCAGGGCTCAGAGTTGTTAAAACACAGAAACTCATTTTAGGCCAAGGTTCAGAGGGACAGCAGTTTCACAGTGTCACCTTGGAATGTCAGTTTGAGACGTCAGAATGGAGTGGGACTTGTGTGGTCATCTGGGCCAGGAGAAACTGAATGCTGCTAAAACCCAAGGACAGAGACTTGGAGGTTTGTCACTGTGATGATTTTCCTGGAGAAAGCTGGTGATGAGTGACCAGAGGATGAGGTTAAGGTGCCACTGTGTCCACTCTTGGGGTGGTTCTCCTTTTATGGGTCTCGGATGAGATGGTTGTTTCTTTTGGTTGTCTGGTATCTCCGATATGAGCATGATACACCCATGCATCCACATGCTTTTGATTAATTTGATAGTTCACAGGTGGTCATTCTTATTAGCATGACTAATTTATTTATCTATTTATGCCTTATGGTTGTGTCAGGCAGATGGTGGTTATTTACTTGTATAAACAAGATATAGAAACCTTACACCTCAGCACTTAAACTCAAAATGGAGTAGCTTATGGTGAACTACTTCTTTACAAAATGGAGTTACAAAGTTTTAGGAACAGCCTGAAAACTGCTGTTCTATATATCATGGATTAACTCAGAGCAGAGCATAGCCTGCTCTCCACATATGTTATATTCTTTCCATCTGTCTCTCTATTAACCTGGTTCTTTCTGGATTTCTGTCTCTTTGAATCACTGCATCGATAAGACACTTGCAATCCAGCATAAAGCCCTGGGGCTGTGCAGTCTTCTGTCCCGTAATCAGCCCTAGGGAAGGAAGCTCCATTCTCTGCCTTTTTGCCAACCCACTTTTGCCTCTGCCAGACTTTTGCGATTTACTTCCTAACCTCTATCTCCTTCCAGGGGCTGAAGGTCAAGATCTAGCTCATTTTCTAAAGATTTGGAGAACACTGGTTTAGGAAAGTCATATGTGTTTCTGCTCTGAGGACTCAAAAAATCCACCTAGCTGACTTTTTCTCCTCTGGCCCACAAGTCTTGCTCCTTTCATATCTCTTGCCTTCCTTTGTCCACTCTGATCTCTCCAACCTGTCCTCATTCTCCTTGTCCCACCTCCATCCCCACTCCACCCCATTGCACCATTCCACGAAACTGCCTGGTGATGTTCTAAGCATAGGGTTTACAAGATTCAAGGAAGAGAGAAGATATAAAGGCTTGTGAGGTCAGTCAAAAGTCCCTGGGATGTTCCTTTCTCCCTTCCTTCTCTCTCTCTCTCTCTCCCCCTCCCTCCCTCCACTAGTGATTAAACCCAGGGCCTCATGCAGACTAAGCAACTGCTCTACCACTGATCTGTACTCCCAGTGCTTAGAGTTTAAATTGCACTGTAAGAGATTTAAGTTTGATAAATCTCGGGCAACGTCATAGGTTCAATCCCCAGTATTAAAAAAATTAAATTAAAAAAGTGACGAATCTGTAAGAACTCTTTAGGTCAATTAAAAGTGACTAATGCTGAAACTGGCCCATGCAGGGTGGGGAGTTGTGCAAGGTGCTGAGGCAGGTGGCCGCTTTGCTTTGCTCTTCATCTCCCTCTGGTGGCCAATCAAGGTAAGTGATAGGAGGAGGACCAAGTTTATGATTTGTGTGGGGTTGCTCAAAATTTGTGCGGGACTCTTGAAAGAGAATAATTGCCTTAATTTAGGCAGGAAGCCCCAGCCACCTGCTCTTTGGAAATATTTAAAAAAAATTTTTTTAGTTGTAGATGGACACAGTACCTTTATTTTTATTTGGTGTTGAGGATCAAA